CTACTACTACTACTACTTTACTTTTACTTTTACTTTACTTACTTACTATATACTACTACTCTCGTCGTAGTAGAGCGCGCGCGCCTCCTCCTCCTCCTCTCTCTCTCTCTCTCTCTCTCTCTCTCTCTCTCTCTCTCTCTCTCTCCCCTCCCTCCCCCCCCCCCCGTACCCCCTCTTCCACCCCCCTCTCTCGCATAGGCTTTAGATTTCTAGCACTCTGTTTGCTGTCAGAGATAATGAGACACCCCTGTGAGCTGAAGCTAATACAGCTCTTCCCTGCCTTGGGCCAAGTAGCTAGGAATTTGCAGGAACCAGCTGCCTCGATCATTTTTGTTTTTCCAATGTAGCTTTCTGAATTTTGAATCCTACTACATTTCATTCTGTTCTACTGCAACAGTCACAACTGGAAAAATATTTGCATTAATTGAGTTGATATCTCATACTGGAAATGAAGCTTTAACCTCTGATACCAAAATGATTTGTTGTTTGACTATTGCAGCAGTAGATGCTTCTCATCTTTGGAGACCAATGAGAAGATCGCGAGGACTGAGAGGATGTCCACTCCTGATATGAAGTTGAAACCTCAACAGGTGAATGGGTCACGGTCCGTTGAACTGATTAAGGGCACAGGCTCAGTGAGACCTATTTTTGGTGCAAATTCACCTCCTGGACTTGAAGAACCGGAAACCAACTTGTCTGCTACTCCTTCCTTAAAGATTAGGTCTTTTGGTCGTATAAGCACATCAACTCCATCAACTCTCTCTCTTGAACTGAACCAAATGGTTGCAGAGGATAACAGATCATCACATGAATCAGTGCACCAGGAAAGCATCCACGATTCTGTAATGTGGGAGGAGAAAACTGAAGTTTTAATACCTGAAGTTGAGCTAGCTATTAGTTCGATTGATGCTTCAGAGTCATTATTATTATCTGGATTGGAAGAAAGGCCTTCAAATTATGGGAATGGAGTTGATCAGGTTATGTCACCATCTGGACATGAAGAAGGGAGTGGAAGTCAAGGCCAATCTGATGGCACTGCCTGCGAGACAGATACTTACATGGATGCACGTGCTACTATGGATTCTGATACCGAGATGGATCCTCCTTGCAAAAAGGAAGGGGAGATGAAGCTCCTGTCATCTCTGATTCAGGGGTTTTCTCCTAATGGTGATAGTTTTAGAAGCCTAGGATCGCCCATGAGAACTCCACCTGATGACCATGAAGTTCCCTTAGGGACTGGTTCGGCATGTAGTCATACCCCCTCTAATCATGATACTAGCAACTCGCAGTATTTGGCATGTGAAGGGCCCACTCAAACTTCCGCATCTGGTTTTTCAGAGAACTGTATTTCTGAATCTTTTTCTGATATTGTTTCGGTGAGGTTATGGACAAATGGTGGTCTTTTAGGTCTTGAACCTGCAAAACCTATGAATATTGGGAATGCAGGCAATCAGGCGCCGAATGCTTCTGCCATGGTAACAACAAATAATGCAGAATGCAGCAGTCAAGACACAGATTCAACCTCTATGGCACATTCAACACGAGCACCTTTGGAAGAGCAAACAAGGAACCCTGGTCGACTCATCGAATGCCCTTATAACTTTAGACCCAACATGGAGAACCGAGGTAACCGTGAGGATTTTGTAATTAAACAAAAGTGTCAGGAAGATTTGGCATTGCAGTTAGAGCTTAAACAAGGTAAAAGCTTCAAACCATCTAACAATCAACTAAGCAATGGTAGTGAAGAGAATTTTGTAGATGCTTCAGTTGTATCTTCTAAAGCTGAATTACAAAATTCTAGCAGTTTCGAAGGTAAATCATCAGCTGACCATACCGAACAATCTGATGATTTGGTCTCTAAAGCCCATGTAAAAACCAACCTTGTGAAGTTTCAGGGGGGATCTCTTCGAATTGATCCAGCGACTTCCTCTGGAAATACAAATTCAAAAGTTCTTGCTAATGACAAATTTTGGTCACTGCAGCATTCATTCTCATCCAAGGCTGGTTATAATGGGCCGCCTTCACCCCCATTAGAACACATGAAGATCTCTTTCCATCCCATGAATGGCTCTTCCACTTCTCAATTCAAACTGTCATTTCCTGATGGGCATCGTTTTGGTGGGAGGATCAAAGACCTCTCTCTATGCCCTTCCCTTTCTCTCTCTGACCCAGCAGTTCCTCTGCATGATGCTAGTGAAACAGAGTCTGCCCTAGACCTTGGGGTTCTCTCTTTGAAGGATCAGGAAACCCAATCCAAGATTTTCCATGGAGATTCAGAGGTGCTAAAACATGCAGACAGTGAATATGATTCTGAAGACTACAGCACCGAGGAATTCCACAAGCGATCCCCTGGATTCTCAGTAAATCTTATTAGTCAAGAGTCTGAATCTGAGAGCTGGATTTGCGATGACACAAATGGGAGTAAGGATGAGAGGTATGATGGATTGTGTAGAGTTTCATCAGACACATCGATATCTAGTTCTCTAGGGCTAGATGGTACTAGTAGTCTTCCTTTCCCTGAAGACTGTGAATTTGGTGGTCCATATGGAGGGAATGGAAATAGGTCTCCATTCTCAATGTCATCATCATCAGTGGAACTTCTTGCAAATTTGGGTACTGTAAATTCTACATTGGTTCCTGAAAGTAAGGATCTGAGATACTCAGAACCAGAATCATCAGTAAATTTAGCATCTCTACAAGAAATATCACTAAACTTGGCTGCCCCAGAAAGTATTGGTTATGAAACTGAGACATATGAGATGCCACCACCTCCCCCCCTTCCTCCTGTTGAATGGAGGACTATGAAAACGCCTCTTCCAGGGCTGGAAAACAAACAAGAAACTGCTATTCATGCTTCCACAATCGCAAGTATGCACACTCCAGATATTAAAACTGTTCCACAATCTGAGGAAGGCATAGCCAAAGGAGCCCTGATGGCTGCCTTAAATTCAAATGGAAAGAGCACGGTAAGTCTCTCTGTTTATGTATTTCACATTTCTTTTCTTTTTGATGTGAAGTCAATAGAATTGGAAAGATTTTGGATCGGTAATTGTGTGCTTCCTGTTTCCACATGTTTTGTATCACAACAGCTGAAAAAGCACGAGGCTTCAGTTCAGCCTCCAAGGAGTGAGCCACTGGATGAAAGGACTATGTTGCTAGAGCAAATCAGAACAAAGGTTGGGTTTATTTTCTTTTTCATTGAGCACGTTCCATGTCAATGCTGAGGATTCCTTTTGTAATGAACTGGTTTCTGTGTTAAGTTGAGCAAAACCAGGCCAAAAAGAGAAAGGGAAGAGTACGTCCTTAATAGGGCGCTCTCCCAAACAAGCATAATTTCTCTTTCAATTTTGTTCCCCTTTTGTCTTTTTGTTATATTATGATTATTACTATGACCATGAAAGCTTAATTGTCCATGTTTGGATCAGCTTGGTCACAAAGTGCTTGCTAGCTGAGTTGGAGTCTATGTTTTTAATTATTCCATCCAATATCATCCAATATTGATTGTTTGCAATGCTGATTCCCTTATTTAACTGCAATTGAAATGGACAGTCATTCAGCTTAAGACGCACGACCACTGCAAGGCCCAACCTGTCACCTGGCCCCACAACCAACATCAATGTAGCCGCTATTTTGGAGAAGGCTAATGCAATCCGCCAGGTGGGTGCCGTCTTTTGCTTTCCTACAGTTGGATCCCTCTCCGACCTTGCGATGTATAGGGCATCAAGTGACAAATATCAAAGTACCCTCATCTCCAGATTGGATGGGATCCAACCATTGTGGACCTGTCCTATACAATATACTTGAAACTCATTATTCCCTTCCCTTTTGTTTATTTTAGTTTGTGATTCCATAGTTTCATGAGTGCATTTCATTTAATACAAAGAATAACACAGGCCTTTGCTGGAAGTGATGATGGAGGCGATGATGACAATTGGAGTGATGCTTGAATGTGCTATTGTGAGCATGTGACATTCATTCGGGACATGACCAACAACTTGTATCCATGCAAGATGGCCATGGGGAAGGATCAGCTCAGGATTATTCTGTTTTACCATGTGAATTAAGAGAAAAATGAGTTAATCATGTACAGTCCGTGCTTTTCAAGATGCGTTGTATTTTCATAGGTTTTCAATTGAGTTATTGATGGTGCCAATTGGGCTGGTTCCACCTCCTGTGAAGATTGACATGTCCAACCCACTTGTATTTAAGAAAGGTTTGGTTCACAGTTCTTTAAAAGAGGTCTGTAAGAAAATATGTATGGATTTTGGCTTCCACAATTTGTATCGCCATAATTTTTGTTGCCGACAAAAGAGTTCCAATAGGCTTTGAGTTTCATTTATCTTTGAGATGGTTGATCTTCCTTTGATCTTGATTTTTGCATTAGTGGTTTTCAATTGTTACAATCTGGTTAACAAATTACCACGAGGTTGGATGTCCACATGGGGATCGGGCTGGGCCGCGGTCAAAGTTTGATGAAGAAACTGATCAAGTATTTTCAGTTTTCATGCGACTCACGAAGCGGTAAGCATTGTTTTGTGGCTGAAAGGAGATGTGAAGTGGCCCAAACGGATCAGAAAAAATAATATAATGTGGCACCAATTTTTCGCAAGGCAAGCGAGGATAACAGGATGATGCGATGCATGTGAGTGAGAAAAAACTGCAGGGTAAAAAAGCAAACCAACGAATGTAAACAATAAAATGGATGCAAGCTAGCACGGCGGCCCATTGATGGCTCCTACTCAAAATAGTAATCAATGGCCAATGGCCATCCTTCCTTGCAGCTTCTAGACGAGATATCAACATAACCACAATATTGTACAAGAACAGGATGCACCAAAAACGATCAAAAGGCACGGTGAATTATAACAGTACCGGTTGTGAACCAGACCTAAACTGATGGGCGTAGGTCATAAAAAACCTTGGCAGGGAGCCAGGCCCGTAATACCTATCTCGTGATTGTTTTTATTTTTAAATTTAGAAATTTGTTTTTGATTAAATAAATTTTTTTATTTTATAAAAAATATTATTGTAAAAAATAATTTATTTTAAGAAATATTTTTGCAAAAATATTGTGACAAAGGTTAATTAGAGAAAAAGGGGAGTCAATACACTTGCGATGTATGGGTCCACATGGGGCCCATGGCCAAATGCCACATGTGGGGCCCCCACTCTTCACATTGTGGGGGTGCGTTTGATAACTTTCTTTACAGTTTTGTTGAGAAAGTCCCAACTGACTTCTCTAGAATTTAGGAGTCAATCTAAGAGTAAAGTGAAAATTGAATGCATGAAAATTGGGAACCTTATTTGATAAATTGTAGTGCAGCTATTTTCACCTATTTGATAAGGGGAAAGTTGGAAACTGCTTGATTTATTATGTATTTCGTTAATTTGATGCTCAAAATGCATATTTTGAATTAGATTTTTTTGCTACAACCCATCTAATGCATTTTTTAAATTGTATGGTTAAGGTTGAAATTTGTTTTTATATCTATGTAACATAAGATATGATGGCATTAAACAACAAATCAAATTTCAACCACACGAGTACACAGGAAAAGATAAACACATATCCATATCTAAAGTTCACCACGAATGTCTTATGAAATACAGATGAATGGAGAGAAGACAAACTTATAGCACACCTGCATATATAAATACACAAATGATTGCAATGTCTTCCGCATTCTACCCACATTTGTGCTAAAATAACCCCAAAATTAAGGTCAGCTCTATTTTGATAATTAGCTGCTCAAGTTCCTTTCATTGTCGTCTTCTTCATCTCTTGCATGCATCTCGATATCTCTGCTCACTTGTCTAAGAACTCAACATTGGAGAGATATCACATCAACAGAGCTCCGGAATGTTCTCAATCGGATGTAGTTGTGCAAAATATAAGTGGCATTTACAATCTTGACCTCTGTTGAAATTGGGTATTGAACTTGAGAGCTCAAGATGGGAAACCATGCTTTCCAAATTCTTAAGATCCACTCCACGACATTTCGTAATGGCATCTTCAGATTTTTCCTTGGACCATGATGTGAGATAATAAATCCATGTATAGTGGGGTAGTCTGCATCCACAAGGTAATGCTATAGACATATCAATATCTATCATACGCTACTTGTAATGAATAATAGCTCAATCATTTTTTCCTTGAGGCACTGTTAATGGATGCATGTCCTTCTCGATTGCATCATATAGAATTCTAGGGTTTACTGAAGAATCTTCCCAACTCGTTAGCATATATGTGAAGCACATTTCTAAGTTAACTGCAACCAAAAGATTCTGAAATAGCTCCCTCTTTCAGTTATGGTATTTCTTTTTGTAAGGATTTGGGAACCCAAGTAGGAATGTGGGTCCTGTCCAACAATCCAACACAATTCTAAAAAGACATTCGCACTAAGCAATTATGAACAATTTTATTATCATGTTATTAAAAGAATGATATACACAATGTTCACCTTGACAAATAGGAACAATATCTTCTTTTTTCTAATTGTGTTGTGTTTCCTTGAGGGAAAGATGATAAAATATGGGCTAGTCGCAATAATGCATTTATGACTTTATTAAAGTAATAGCTAATAGTTTGCTCAAAAATGCTGAAATTGAATCTACATCATCCTATTATGCTTATTATGTGCAATTGTGTTAGAAATACAACAACTTGTTGTTCTACCAACATGTATCGAGAATTATGAATTAGTCAGTGTTATTTTAAAATTCCCCACAAGCCTAAAAAGGCAACCGTTTCTATACGCAATAAATTGAAATAATTATTTTGATGGGACTCCAATAAATATGAAACAAATGTAGTACCGGTAAAGTAACTAGCGTGAACTAGATTCGTTGGTATCAAGTATGTATAGTAGTATCAGACACAACACAAGACGTTTACATATGCAACCTAATATCCTACCATAGATGTCATATAATTTTGATGGATCAATATTGACGGTCTAACCTGCAGTCAAATATATAAGGGGTCCATCAACAAGTATCCAAAAAAGAGGAGCAAATTTTCATCCAAAACAAAAAGAGGGCCTTCTCATAGACTGATTCTCAGAAGGCATATTTTCATTTGATTCTTTTTCTTCAGCAAAAAAACAAATACTGACTAGCATGAATAATAAAGTTTTGGTTACATAAAAGCTATCAAATCCAAATGAACATTATATTGTCAAGATTAACATTTCAAGCAACTATTCTTCCCCCCAAAAAAAAAGAACACATCAAGCTATTTTCAACACTAGCTGACACTCTGCACATCACAAACTAGGTTCTGTTTTAGGCCTTTCACAAGCTAGCAATGTACAATCAATGTTTACACTCAGTTTATGTACAAATATTACTCAAAATATAAATGCAGAATATGGATAAAAGGAAAGAGAATGTAATGAGCATGTTTCTTACTTCAGTAAAATAACAAAATGGTGGTGTTCATCTGGAACACAAAATGGAAATGTGACTTGAAAAAATCACTTGCCTACAAAATTTGCATCGGATCTTCCTTAATTTCTAGAAGGATAATATTCCACTTCTCAACAAAGAAAAACTTGCCCTTTTCAAAGAACGTTTATCTTCCAACAAACAAACACATCCTAAGTAAGTTGGAGTTGACCATGTCATTTGTTCTTTCTTTGAACCATATTTTATTTTAGAAATGGAAAGTCAATAACTAAGACCAATTTTAAGTGTAAAGCTTCAAAAAAGAGCCAATGAAAAAAGCAAAAATCTTTGAGGATTTCCATATATTGAATAATTTTAATTAATTTCACCTGTGGAATTTGGACAAAGTTCCTCCATGCTAAGAGAAAAAAGTAAAAAAAAAAAAATTAACCGTGACTTTCCTAATTTGTGCTTCACTTTATACAAACTCTCCCGTGGCGGATCTCATGCCAGTCCCATGCCAGCACAAAATTTTACTGCATCTTTTTATGAATCTTGAACTTATAAATGACAGGAAGCCGACCCCACATATGTGAGATGAAACTTGGATGATGATGATGTATGTCATATACATGAGAACGCTCCTACATTTTATTAATCTAGGCATGAAAATGTAGCATGGACCAAAGGCAATAAAAATCCAGTAGAAACAATAAAGAAATTAAGAGTTGGGTCCCACCAAATTTGAAGAGGATCAAGCGTTGAGCGTGCATTGTGTGATTCTAGCACGACTTTTTCGTTTTTCCATCATAGAAAGGATATTTAACTTTTTGTAGTTAGAAATTGACACGGCTCATGTCTCATGCTTCTTTAGTCAATTTTCTTTTTATTTTTTATTTCTATTGTCTTGTAGGATCATGAGAAAGGCCCATACTTATAGTTTTAAAAAGTACACATGTATAGGGTTGGCAATGGACCCGGACCTGGACCCGACCAGGGACCCACCGGGTATCCCTGAACCCGATCCGGGACCCGGGACCCGGTGGGTCGGGTCTGGGTTCGGTTGAACGCGACCCGTACCTGACCACCTTTAAATTGTTGGAGATAAAATACTTCAAGCCCTATTCGTTTGTGTGTATTAAGGATCGTGTACATAAGAATTCATAATCATCTTTACCTATTAAACGACATATAAGACGGCTTGAAATCTAATGGCGGGTCGTAATCTTGTTGCCAATAATTTGGGCATATGATGGTAAAGAAAGAGCAAAAAAAAAGAACTTTATAGTGAGGGTGGCAATAGACGTGACCAGACCCGAGACCCGGCAAGCACGGGTATGGGGTCCAACTTTTGAACCCGACAAGTACGGGTATGGGGTCCGACTTTTGGACCAAACAGGTCGAGTCGGGGTCTAAAACCTAGACCCGAATACATTCGGGTCTGAGGTTGTTAGCTATTGATTTTATTTCTATATTTTTTTTAATTAAGTCTCATTGTTAGTTTTATATATTTAATTTGGGGATCGATTTCATACAACGATTTATTGTAAAGTAATGAAATAATAAAAAAATATTGTGCTAGGATCATCCTTTGATCATAATTTTTATATAAACACTATTTTTATTCTAATGAACAATTGCAAAAAGACAAAATTTGATAATGTACTTCAAAAAATATCTTTTTAACCTAACTAACATAGGCCGTTCATTTAACGAGGCACTTAGATCTAAGCTTTAGAAGGATTGACTGTTTTTTATCTTTTCCCAATTTCAAAGATGACCTTATTGTCTTTAGATGAATACTGCTGGAAAAAAAATATGATCTTGAATTCATAAATGTCTAGATCTCAAAGTTCAGCAAATAGACAATTTGAATTCATTTTTGGAGAGAAACCCGTTTTGATTGTATCTAGGGTAGTAAATTAATTTTAT